CCCGCCCGAGCTGCCCCGGGCCCCGCCCCCCGACGCCGGCGCCGACCGCCTCTTCCCGCCGCAGGTGGATTTGCGTTTCTAATTAAACACCTGGGGGGTTTTTAGGCGATAATTTGAATTTTTATGAGGTTAATTTGCATGTTTTATGCAAAAATTTGATTTTTTTGGAGGATAATTTGCATATTTTAGGCAAAAATTTCAAATTTTTGGAGGCTAATTTGAATGTTTTGGGCGATAATTTGAATTTTTTGGAGGATAATTTCCATGTTTTATGCAAAAGTTTTTTTGAGGATAATTTGCATGTTTCGTGCAAAAATTTGAATTTTTTGGAGGCTAATTTGCATGTTTCAGGCAAAATTTTGAATTTTTTTGGAGGCTAATTTGCATATTTTAGGCAATAGTTTCAAATTTTTGGAGGCTAATTTGAATGTTTTGGGCGATAATTTGAATTTTTTGGAGGATAATTTGCATGTTTTATGCAAAAATTTGATTTTTTTTTGAGGATAATTTGCATGTTTCATGCAAAAATTTGAAGTTTTTGGAGGCTAATTTGCATGATTTAGGCAATAATTTGAAATTTTTGGAGGCTTATTTGCATGTTTCATGCAAAAATTTGAATTTTTTTTGGAGGCTAATTTGCATATTTCATGCAAAAATCTGAATTTTTTGGAGGCTAATTTGCATGTTTTGTGCAATTATTTGAAATTTTTTTTAAAATAATTTGGATTTTTTGGGCAAGAATTTGCATTTTTTAGAGAATAATTTGCATTTTTTTGAGGATTTTTATTTCCCGCCGTTTCCGTTTCCTGCCATTTCCTGAGGCGTGGCAGCCATTTTGAATGGCAGCCATTTTGAATGGCAGCCATTTTGCACGGCAGCCATTTTGCATGGTAGCCATTTTGAACTGTGGCCATTTTGAATGGCAGCCATTTTGCTCCTCCACCATTTTGTTTGGCAGCCATTTTGTGTGGCAGCCATTTTGAACTGCGGCCATTTTGCGTGGCAGCCATTTTTCACGGCAGCCATTTTGATTGGCAGCCATTTTACGCTGCCATTTTGCATGGCAGCCATTTTGCGTGGCAGCCATTTTGTGTGGCAGCCATTTTGAGTGGCAGCCATTTTGCGTGGCAGCCATTTTGAGCTGTGGCCATTTTGCGTGGCAGCCATTTTTCACGGCAGCCATTTTTCACGGCAGCCATTTTGAATGGCAGTCATTTTACGCTGCCATTTTGCATGGCAGCCATTTTGCGTGGCAGCCATTTTGAGTGGCAGCCATTTTGTGTGGCAGCCATTTTTCACCACCATTTTACACCACTGCCATTTTGTGTGGCAGCCATTTTGTGTGGCAGCCATTTTGCGTGGCGGCCATTTTGCGTGGCAGCCATTTTTCACGGCAGCCATTTTTCACAGCAGCCATTTTAAATGGCAGCCATTTTGCGCCACCATTTTGCACTGCTGCCGTTTGGTGTGGCAACCATTTTGTGTGGCAGCCATTTTGAATGGCAGCCATTTTTCGCCGCCATTTTGCGCCGCCATTTTGCGCCGCCATTTTTCCCTTTTTGACCGATTCCCGCCGTTTTCTCCCCGTTTCTCCTCCCCTGGCAGTGGATCTGCTGCGACATTCGCTACCTGGACGTCTCCATCCTGGGCAAGTTCGCCGTGGTGATGGCGGATCCGCCCTGGGACATCCACATGGAGCTGCCCTACGGAACGCTGACCGACGACGAGATGCGGCGCCTCAACATCCCCGTGCTGCAGGACGAGGGCTTCCTCTTCCTCTGGGTCACCGGCAGGTCGGGCCACCCCGAATCCGCCGGGATTTAACCCAAATTCATCCCAAATCCGTGGGATCCGCCCCAAATTCACTGGGATTTAACCCAAATTCATCCCAAATCCGTGGGATCCGCCCCAAGTTCACCCCGAATTCACCGGATTCACCCCAAAACCGCCCCAAATTCACCGGATTTACCCCAAATCCACCGGATTCACCCCAAATTCACCTCAAATTCATGGGATTTACCCCAAATTCATGGGATTTAACCCAAATTCATCCCAAATCTGTGGGATTCATCCCAAATTCACCGGGATTTGCCCCCGAATTCACCGGATTCACCCCAAATTCACTGGATTTACCCCAAATTCACTGGGATTTGCCCCAAATACATGGGATTTACCACCAAATTCAACCCAAATTCACAGGATTTTCCCCAAATTCACCGGGATTTACCTCAAATCCATCCCAAATCCATGGGATTCTCCCCAGATCCACAGGATTTGCTCCAAATTCACTGGGATTTACCCCAAATTCACCGGGATTTGCCCCAAATTCATGGGATTTACCCCAAATTCACTGGGATTTAACCCAAATTCATCCCAAATCCGTGGGATCCGCCCCAAATTCACCCCGAATTCACCGGATTCACCCCAAAACCGCCCCAAATTCACTGGATTTACCCCAAATCCACCGGATTCACCCCAAATTCATGGGATTTACCCCAAATTCACTGGGATTTGCCCCCAAATTCACGGGATTTACCCCAAATTCACTGGGATTTAACCCAAATTCATCCCAAATCCGTGGCATTCGCCCCAAATTCACCGGGATTTGCCCCCGAATTCACCGGATTCACCCCAAATTCACTGGATTTACCCCAAATTCACCGGGATTTGCCCCAAATTCACTGGATTTACCCCAAATTCATGGGATTTACCCCAAATTCACCGGGATTTACCTCAAATCCATCCCAAATCCATGGGATTCTCCCCAAATCCACAGGATTTGCCCCAAATTCACTGGGATTTACCCCAAATTCACCGGGATTTGCCCCAAATTCATGGGATTTACCCCAAATTCACTGGGATTTAACCCAAATTCATCCCAAATCTGTGGGATTCATCCCAAATTCACCGGGATTTGCCCCAAATTCACCGGATTCACCCCAAATTCACCGGATTTACCCCAAATTCATGGGATTTACCCCAAATTCACCCCAAATTCACCGGGATTTACCCTAAATTTACAGGATTTATCCCAAATCCACGAGATTTGTCCCAAATTCACCAGGATCACCCCAAATCCATCAGATTTCACCCCAAACCCATCAAGAACTCTCCGAATTTCCCATTTTTTCTCCCCCAAACCCCCAAACTTCTCCTTTTTCCCCCCAAATCCCCCATTTCCTCTTGCCCAGCCCCCAAAATCCCCCTTTTCCCACCCAAAATCCCGTTTTGTCCCAAATTCCGCTGTTTTCACCCCAAAATTTCTCGTTTTTCCAGGG